TTCCAAAGTCAGTTACATCTTATTAGGGAGCTATTCATTTTAATAGAGGGGTCTGATAGGGCAGCAGTTCAAGTGGCTTTCAAGATTAAACACAAATACACATGTGTTACAAAATCAAAGAAGGAGGTAAGACAAAAATGTTTTTAAAATCCTACAAGCCATTGCTATCATCTGGGAATTATAATGTGAGATCCACCATCAGCTGATTAGCCCTTAAGGAAAGTCAGTATACATGTTGTTTTCTCATCTATAAACAGGGGCAAGTATTACGAACCCACATCAGGCACACACCCCATGCTCCTTAGACAAATGTGAAGAACTTGGCTAACAGATTTGGTAAGAAAAATTTTAGAATAAAAATGGCCTCCCTTATTTGTTGCCATTCCATGTAGATCTTTTTGATCCAAATTTGTATAAATACTTTAATTAAAAATAATTTAAGTAGAAGAAACAGAATAGTAAAACCAAAATCATACAGCAAAGTATCAAATAGGAAATAAAACCCCTTCATTTCACTCTATGCCAGCCGAACTTAGCCAGACTGATAATTTTTTTTCAAATTTTTAATTAAATTTGTTATTCTGAGATAATCATGAATCATATGCAGTTGTAAGAATAATGCAGAGAGATGTTATGTACCCTTTCCCCAGTTTCCCCCAAGGATAACATCTTGCAAACCTGTAGTATAATATCACAATCAGGATGTTGATATTGATACACAAGATATGGAAATTGAACTGGTAGATTTTCAAATACCTTTTGTCTTCTTCCTTGTTAGTGATTTCTCAATTAGAGTTAGGCTGTGAGAGTCAAGCTACCTGAGTATTAGGATGAAGTCATGGGAAAAGTGCTTCTCTATTGTTTTTCATTTGCATGCATCTGCCTTATTCAATACAGAATACTGTAGGCATTTTCTCTCCCTACCAGTTCTCCATTTCCCATGTTGGCATATTTCAAGTCCTTTTTTTCCAGCTTTATTGAGATACAATTGACACATGACTTTTGTGTAAGTTTATGTCCACAACATGTTAATTTGATCCACTTATATACTGCGAAATGATTACCATAGTATGGGTTAGCTCACACTTCCATCACCACACATATTTACCATGTCTTGTGGTGAGAACATTTTTAAGAACTACTCTTAGTAACTTTCAGGTATATTATACGGTCTTAACTATATCTAGGTCTTTGAAGTCATCAAGGACCTAGTCAAACAGAAGTCATCAACTGTTTGAAGAACAGTTGGGTGAAAATAGCTGATGTAGCTAATTCCTATGGAATAAATTTATTATATTAGAACTTGCGATGGAAAATTCCATAATCTACTTCCATAGACAAGAGTGCAATTGTAATTTCTGATGGCAGTTTGCTTTTCAATAAATTAAGACTAAGCAGTACCTTTCAGGTTTTTTGGTAGAACAAAGACTCAGAGAGTTTCATTCCAATAGTTAATGGAAAAGAGAAATTTTTCCAAGGAGCCACAAATACCCCATGGCAAAGTAATGATGGGCATGTTGGAGACTTAAACCGCTCACATTCTGCCACGATGGCTGGTGAAATGAGTTTGCTCTTGGGTTTCAAGTAGAATTGATTGGAAGGAAGTATGATTGCAGGGTGAATAAAAGTGACCCTGGGATTTTCCTTTGTCATATGACATGTCACTTAAAATTTAGGATATAATCACCTCACACCAGTTAGGATGGCTAACATAGAAAAGAAATAGGAACAACAAATACTGACCAAGATGCAGAGAAAGGGGAACCCTCCTACACTGCTGGTGGGAACATAAACTAGTTCAACCATTGTGGAAAGCAGTATGAAGGTTCCTCAAAAACTCAAAATAGAAATACCATTTGACCCAGGAATTCCACTCCTAGGAATTTACCCTAAGAATGCAGCACTCCAGTTTGAAAAAGACATATGCACCCCTATGTTCATTGCAGCACTATTTACAATAGCCAAGAAATGGAAGCAATCTAAGTGTCCATCAGTAGATGAATGGATAAAGATGTGGTACACAGACAATGGAATTCAACCATATGAAGAAAATAAATCCTACCATTTGCAACAACATGGATGGAGCTAGAGGATATTATGCTCAGTGAAATAAGCCAGGTGGAGAAAGACAAGTACCAAATGATTGCACTCATCTGTGAAGTGTAAGAACAAAGAAAAAACTGAAGGAAAAAACAGCAGCAGACTCACAGAACCCAAGAATGAACTAACAGTTACCAAAAGGAAAGGGACTGGGAAGGATGGGTGGGAAGGAAGGGATAAGGGGGAAAAAGGGGCATTATGATTAGCACACATAATGTAGGGGGGGTGCCTGGGGAAGGCAGTACAACACAGAGAAGACAAGTAGTGACTCTGTGGCAATCTTACTACACTGATGGACAGTGACTGTAATGGGGTATGTGGTGGGGACTTGATAATGGGGGAATCTAGTAACCACAATGTTGCTCATGTATATTAATGATACCAAAAAAAAATCATCAAGGTGTACACTAAAAAAAAAATTTACAATATAATAATCATGTGTAGGTTGACTTACATATAATTTCTCATTTTATATTTAGTTGTGTTTTCTGTAAGAAGTTTTCACTTTCTCTTATTAAAGCAGAATTTCATAGTACTAACAAAAGAGTTATGCAAATGTTTGAGCAGGTAATATCTTAGTAGCTTAGAGAGGGTTAGTTATGTGTATATTTATACGCATAATTATGTGTACACTAGTTACCCTATCAGTGCTCAAGATCAATGCCTCCAAAGATGGGGCAAGTCATAGAAATGAGTGACCCAGGCTTGTTGGGGCACTTGGGCCTTTGTCTCCTTTAAAGGGGCAGCCACTGTATCACTAGTCCTGTGAGAATGCCTGCTGGTATGATTGCCATGTCTTTCAGTTTTCAAGAGAAAATGTAAATTGGATTTTTTTATTAAAGCTTTTAAAAGCAGACAAATACTTCAAATTTTAAATGTAAAGCCATGCACTATGTGCTTCTGTACCATATGCTACATTCTAGTATAATTTTCATTTAATTCTCAACCATTTTGTATTGAATGCCAGAAAACCCAAGAATACAGCTGCCACCTTAGACTTTACAACCATCCTTACAGCCTTTGCACCCGCACCTGCTCTCTCTCTCTGGACTTCTCTTTCTGCCTGTATCACCTCAGTGCTCCAGTCATTTCTACTCAAACTTCCAGTGTTTTTTTTTTCCCTCCTCTTGTGTTTCCCACTATTCTTCGCCCAAATCCAAGTCTGTTGCTTTTTTTCTAGTGAATTTCCCCATCTTTTTTTCCCACTACCCCATTCCTAGCCCTGGGACTGGACTTCTAACCAAGATCCTCCCTGCATTCCAGTTTCTGTAGCATTACCCAACCAGCACTGATCATCTTTTTCAAATACCTCTTTCATTATCTCCTTTGTCAAAAGTTCCTATGGTCCCTATTACCTGCCATTTAAATTCCACAACTTTTTTTGCCTAGATCTCCAGGTTTCAAGGTAGTGTTATCTTAGTTGTCTGTCGACCCTTCCCCTGGTTTTCTCCAATCACTGCTTCTTAACATCAACTCTTCTCCCCCAGGCCAGCCTCCTGGTGGGGGCTGCTGGCAATCTTGTGAGACTGGATGAGGGGTGGATCCTTTCCCTAGACCTTTCTGCTCAGATAGAATAGATTCTGGAGTTCTGTGCCCTCCTCCCTTTTTTAAAACCAGGCCTCCTTTATCATTTGGACCGCAAGCCTTAAGGCGAGAAGAATGTGGAATAAAGGAAGACACAGGTCTTTCTCTAGCTCAGGAAGAGGCTGGAGGAGGAGGGCTGCCTTGGGCTTCAGATTATGGGTGCAGTATGTCCGAGTTGGGGCTTCTCTGTGGGAGATTTTGGGATGGAGAAGCCTTGTTTTACTACCTTAGACATTACCTTCTCCAACCGATTTCTGCTTTCACTCCCTTTAGCTGAGGACACAAAATCTTGCTTTGTGTTTGTGGAAGCAATACTAACCACCATATAAATTTCTGTCATTTTGCAATTTGAATGCAGTGTATTCTCATTTGCCTTGCAGCCCACCCACTGTGCACGTGAGTAGATATTTGAGTGATTAACCTGGTCTCTTTAATCTACTGGAACAATGCATTCGTCGATTGAAGAGCTTCTCTACTCAGAAAAGTATTAAGGACGTTTCTTCTTTTACCCACGTAGTGATAATTCACTGAAATAGATTCTCTCTTGCCTCCCTTGACACTTTGTTTAAGCTCCTGGTAGGGCACAGAGCACCTACTGTTACAAGTAACTACTGTTACATAGTTATTTGAACGTGTAACCCTGCCATTTATCTATGAAGCAGTCATCCCTGCTTTTTTTGTGTCTCCAGCAGTACCTAGTCTGGTGTGCAGTCCAGTGCGGTAGAACCTTGACATTCTCTAATGATGCATCTGCAGTCTATCAGAAACCTTCAAGTCTGTGACTGGTATTAACTGAGATATGAATGTTGAGTGATTGTTAGTCTCCAGCTAAATGACAGGCTTTAAAGTCCTCTTGACTTAAGTATCAGATTCTACCAGCAGCACTTTGCATATATTATCTCACTTGTATTCAGAACAATAACCCTCTGAAGCAACTAATATTATCTTCATGGCAAATTATTGTTAACATTGACTTGTTAATAAGAAAAAAACACAAATGATGAATCTGTGAATGCCAGGGGCCTGTTGTGCCAATCTGGATCGGTAGTTAGACAGATGATTAGAAATGATAATATGATGAAATGCTGTGTTTTCTAATATATGAAACATTTTGATCAACAATGTGCAGATTAAACTGGAAAGTAAGATGAATAACCTGAAACAATAATGTTTATAATTTAATCGTTTTAATTTTTTTTAGCTTTCCTTCTTTCCGAAGAAGGAATGAAATACATGATTTGCAAATTATACCAGACTCTCAACTCTCAGTAAGAATTAATTTCACTTACTTCTTTCATCCTTTTTTTCTTTAACAGGAGATGGCTGTGGGCAAATAGTGACCTATCAGGACAGTGGTACAATGACATCCAAGAATTATCCAGGGACTTACCCTAATCACACTGTTTGTGAAAAGACTATCAAAGTACCAAAGGGGAAGAGATTGATTCTGAGGTTAGGAGATTTGGATATTGAATCCCAGACCTGTGCTTCTGACTACCTTCTCTTCACCAGCAATGCTGATCAGTATGGTAAGAAAAAAAATCTAGGTTTCTTTAAGCATGAAAAAAATTGAGATTTGGAGGAAAGCCAAGTTGTGTGTTGATTAGTGTTAATAACCTGCAAAGATTAGAAGAGAGCTTGCTTTTTGTAAACTCTGGTTCAGTGGTAGAGAGTGCCTGCTGAAGGGCAGCAGGGGAGATGGAATGTTCTGGAATACTCCCTGAAATTTTAGTATATGATGGTGCTAATGATGGCATGTGTGGCTGAAACAGCTGCATAGTTTTAGTGTATCCAGCTCAAATTTTTTATTAATCAGTTAACTGCTAAAACCCAGACCAAGTAATTTTAAGACTCAGCACCATCAGAATTTTGGATATTGAGTTAATGTTTTGAAAAAGAATAATATTTTCTGGCATTAATGTTCATAAGCTCTGCCAAGAGTAGGCATACTTGAAATGTGATTGCATTAACCACTGTGAATATGGTGAAGTTGTAGTTTTAATCATTTTTGATTGTCCATCCCCTGGCCAATTTTGTTTTAAATGTTTGGTTCATATACCTTGGGTGCCTTTATAACCCACACTGATGGTATCAAAATGCACTATAAACAAGTGGGACCAACACCAGCTTTCACAGTAATCAGGCAAAACATGCACTTGATCTCATTGATGTTAAAGATAGGAATACTCTTCTGTCTGTCAGATACTATAATTATGACCGAGAGTTCAGATTCAAGCATCAGTTAGAAGAATGTACTTAACTGTTTGTGGCTGAGTTAAGACACTGACTTGTTCTTTTCAAATATCCTTGAGTCAGCCAGGAAGCAGCAAAGTTGATAAAGTATAAAGTGTATTAACTTTACTTTGGAAAATGTGTTTTTTTAATAACAAATTAAGTATTTAGAGATATGTTAAACACAAATTTTACTTTAAAACTTATATAAAAATTTTTTATCTAGAATATACTCTGGCTTTCAAGATCATATGTGCTATATCCTGGCAAAAAAACAGAATCCTTAAGTATACTCTGCTTAGTAGAGATTGTTTTCACTGTAACTAAGGAAATTCTGGGTTTTGGTTTAAGAAAACTGAGAAACTGAGACTCCCTTCCAAAGAAACACTAATGTCCCTTTATGGACTCAGCTCCTATCCAGAATCATGAAGCATCTCCTTCAATCCGAGATAGTTCCTCAGTTTTTCTTTGTCTCTTGCACAGTTTTGAAGAGCACTGACCAGTTATTTTGTAGAATGGCTATAGATTTGGGTTAGTTTGATGTTCCTTATGATTAGATTCAGATTCTACATTCTCGGCAAATATAAAATTTTAAAAAGTAATCTTTAAAAGGATTGTTTGCAACAGTTTCCACCATTAGAAGTTGTGCGGTCATATCCAGCCCCCGAGGCTCCCTACCCTCTTACCCCCACCATCTGCCTGAGGAATAAGAACTAAACTGCATGGAGCTTCCTCTGTGTCCCTTTTCACTGGTTTTGTCAAGTGGACTCTTTTTGCTTTCAAAACTACATCCATGTAGGTTATGTCAAGTGTCTTCCCCAAACAGTTCTTTGTTGTTCAAAGAAGCCAGTGTAATAGGAGACTTTGAAAGGACTCAAACATAAAGTGACACCTTCTTTTCAGGAATAGTTCATCTTGTATTGGGGCACATGAGATCGTACAGACTTGACTAAGTTAGCCAAAGCTATTCTAGGGTTGAAAAAATTCACATTTAAACCTGGCATTTTAAGATTCAAAGGAAGAATCTATTTATTTAAAACTGTTGTGTGGTACAGTTCAGATTGCTGCTTTGGTACTGATTCATAATCTCCTTTTATATTCATCATATAAAACATTAAGAGGCTAGTTATACAACACATTAAACTATAGGGAAAAGGAGATGCTGGCTTAGGCATTGTGTCATACCAATATGCCTACATTTAAAATGTGAAATATCTAACATTTGTGACCCTGACAGGGGAGGGCTATGAAATCAAACTGAGTATCATTATTTGCAACGTTAAAACTCTTTAGTGACCTTGTAACATTCACTCTCCCTCTGGTTAGTTTCCATTTCCAGTTTTGTTGACCAGAAAAGATTTGAAATCACTGAGTTTTGTTTCTGCCAACTGTTCAAGGGGCCCCCAGAGGAACTGTCATTTCTGTTTTCCTGATATTTCAAAATTGACTGGGTCCCAATTTTGTCCTGAAAATTGACCCTCCCACAGTGGGTTTAGGGTCGTTCCCAGACTGCCTGAAGGACCTGCTGGCGGAATCTTGGTGGGAACCAGATACTGGATCCTCAGGATCTCAAAGGACCTTATTCTGATGGAGTCTCCTAGACTTCCCCACCCAGGTCACTGTGGATCAGTAAAACCAGGCTTCCTTCAGCCTGGATAGAGATGAGCTCTTTTGTTTCTGCCTAGATTTTTCACTTGTGCTTGAGAGTACAGACTCTGGAATTGGATACCTGGCTACAAGTTCTTGCCTTATTGCTTATTTTTATTGCTTGACCTTGAGCAAATACTTAATCTTTCTGTATCTCCATTTCCCCATCTTTAAAACATGTACAACAGTAGAATCTACCACTTAAGGGTGATTGAAGCATATATTTATATATAATGGCTTAAAAGGTCTGTGCTTTAGTGTAGCACAGAGAAGACAAGTAGTGACTCTATAGCATCTTACTACATTGATGGACAGTAACTGCAGTGGGGTGGCGGGAACTTGATAATATGGGTGAATGTACTAACCACAGTTTTGCTCATGTGAAACCTTCATAAGAATGTATAGAAATGATACTTTAAATAAATAAATGAATAAAAGATCCATGCCTGGCACATAATAAGTACTCAGTCAATGTTAGCCATCATCATCACTCCCCTCCCCCTCCTCCTCCTCCTTGGTGGTCTTACACACAGTTTATTCTTTGTCTAGAGCAGAGAACACATTGGTCCCTCTCAATACCCTGAGCACCCTCCTTCCTGCCGGCAGCCCCATGCCCTCCTGCGCACATTCCTGGTGACCTAAGTTTGCCTGAATCAGTCCAAGCGCGGGGCAGGAGTTTCCTGAGCCAGAAATAGCTCCATGTGCAGATCTCCTCCATTCAGCCTTGTGAGATGAGCAGAGAACATGTATTTTTTAAGCCCCTAGTTTGTTAAGTTTGGCTTTTTCATTTTTGCCACTGTCGTCAGTCCATGCCTTTGTGTGGTCTTCTAGAAAGAGCCTCCCCAGCTTTCCCTCACTCCTGTCGCTCTAGGCCATGCCATCCAAGGTTTCCATCCCTCTAGGCCATGCCATCCAAGGTTATCTTTTAAATATTATTATTATATCCTTTTTTCAAAAACTGTTAACTGTGCTCCACCATCTACAGAACTTGTTAGCATGGCATTCAAGGCTTGCTCACTCTCTTCCCATCCACATTTCCAGCCTCATCTCAGAGTCTCCCCAGCTCTATGCCTTTTCCCTAACACATCACACAGTTTCCTGCCACAGTACATTTGTTGATGTTCTTCCTTGCGTGTGCCCCTCTCCCTTTCCTTACCCTGTTTTTTCTACCCCTTCCAATGTGTACACGCACATACACACACACACACACAGAGTAAAGGCAGACCAAATCTGATGCTACTTACCCTAGAACCTTTTGTGGTGTCTAGCAGCTCCACTCACTCCTTTTTGGGGGCTCATTTGATTTTCTAACCCTTCAAAAAAGCACCGATCTCAGTTCAAGATCATTATTTTAGCTTCTGTACCAGACATAGGGATTCCTGAGCAAGGAATTACATTTTATTCATCTTTTTAATATCCCCTATTGCTTAGCACAGTCTTACAAATACAGGTGGTCATTCAACATTTAATGAATCTGATTGCATGTAGCTTGATTTTGGCAAACATTTTAAAATCTGGATTTTTACAAAAGATAAATTAGTGTATTTTTACTCACTCTGTAGGAAGAATCACAGTAAGATTCCTCTGCCTGTAAATATGCTGTCTGCATTTAAAAAACGGCTTGATTTACATAGAATTTTAGGGCTCTGTGTATTATATATAGAAAGACCATGAAATACACTGTAACAGGTGGCTGCCATTGAGCATGCAATTCAGTGTGTGCACTGGGTTAGTACTTTATAGTTACTAACTCGTAATCCTCTAGTGGCCCTGTGAGAGAGAGCATGTGATCAACATCCACACATAAGTAAACTGAGGCTCCAAGAGGTCAAGTAAGTTGCTTATGATCCCTTAACTAGATTAAGGATTCCAGTCTGGGTATTTGACTCCAGAGACCCAGCTCTAAGCACTGTGCCATCCCGTTCAGTGTGACAAAAGCCATCTGATCCCATGGCTTGTGCCTAAGACCTAAGCCAGAGCTCTTGTGTGTCATTTGCTGGGAGGAATGGACACTTCTCTAGGTCTCCCTATAAGGATGTATCCTGAAAATAAAATGGAGCTCTGAAAAATCACTCACAGAGTATTAGCATAAATCTAAGGTTTAAAAAAATGCTTCTTACTCAGAATGCATTAGGAGGCACCACGGTCAGTGATAGAAACCAGTTCACTACAAGAACCTAATTGTAGTCAGCTAAATTGGTTCCGTTCTGCTGAATGATTTGTGCTGTAGAAAAACCAGAAAGTTTGAGAATTGTTCTTACATTTCCTGGACTCCCAGCACCACTCCCAACATTTTTAAATCATTGTCAGTGACTTAGAAGTACAACCATTTGAAATCACCTGTTAATATTCATATTACACTAAAGAACAAGAGAAATAGGCAAAGTAGGAAATAATGTTTCTTTGATATTATCTATTTGCCATATTTCTTTGATATTCTTAAAAGCTATTAAAGAAATACCAAGATTTCTGTGATAATTTTTTAGAATGATACGTACCTGGCATACTGCAATAAAATCTAATCATAATGCCTTGTCTATTGTTTTTTTTTTTAATCCCAAATAGGGAAAAACACAAGATTGGTAGCCTCTATTCAATAAATGTTTTATCTCTCACCACCATATTATGGAGAATGCAAAATTCTTTGACTTTTAGAGATATGACAAAAATCCTTGAAAAAATGTCCAGCTTGTGGAGAGTTGTTTTGTACCCAAACACCCTAGAAGTACATTCCCCTGTATGACTGGGGCTACTTTGATGGAAATTCTTGAGGACTGCCTTTTGTTTTTGTTTTTGTTTTGTTTTGCCTTTTATACCAAGGTATAATTCAGAAAGAACTTAAATTCATAGATAAGGTTATATCAGCCAAAATGGTCCATGCTAGAGAGCTCATTAACATAATCATAAGCCTCCAGGAAGAAAAGCTATTGGTTTCCTCCTCCTCCTCGTACCCCCTAAATGCTTTCCTGGAGACACTGATTTAGTTTCAGTAATAGCTATCTTTTGTTGGAAGAGAAATAATGGTCTAGGTGGGTTGTGAGCTACAGTGTTACGGCACGTCTTGACCCCGGTCCCATAGCCCCAGGAAAGCTTCACCTTTGTCTAGGAATCTGCCTGCTTCATTTCTCATCTGTCACTGATTTTTGTCTGAGAACCAGCGACCACAACTCTTCAGGGATACCACTTAACATTCTTACGTGACTCTGGTTTTAATGGCACAGTCCAGGAATATCCCTTTTTTTATGCTAATGTCCCTCTTTTCAAAGAAAATGGCCCTGAAAATTCTGTAATTTTGTGCATTGACCTAATTGCAATTAGCAAGCAAGGATGACCCCTGCCATTTGACTGCGCTAAGAAAACAAATGGGAAAAGGACACAAGTCTTACGCATTTGCACTTCAGCATTTCTGCAGATTATTTTTAACAACATGCTTCTGAACACAAATCGGGGCCATGCTTGGTATTGCTTTCTGGGAAGCTGATAGTGTGCACTGTCTGGCTTTGCCGTGGTGCTCCTTGTGAGGGCCACTGAGGCTCAGTGGCATGTTCTTATTTGTCATGAGAAATTGAATGTGTGCTTCAGAAAATGCTCATAAGGTTAATGAAGGTTTTTAGGTTATTTTGTTGTTCAGTTTGATTCATGACAAATCTCTGAGGAGTTAGGTTTTTATGTGGTCTCTGTCTTGTTCACCATGGAGACTGCAGTTATGGGGTGCGGGGGGAGTCCTCTTTTTTTCTAACAATATGCATACATGTCCCTTTCAAAGATGAAACAATAACTTAGTTTCTTCAGTTTTGAGATGAAAAGCATATACCCACTTAAAATGACTTGGACCAGTTATTATTGCCTCATAACTTAGAGTCGGGCAGACAGTCCATGGAGAATGGCACAGTAGTATAAATTGCTGCCTGGATTGTCAGATTGCCAGAGAATCAAGAGGATTCTGGGTTTGGCCCAGGGCAGAGAGTTCATTCTTCATTGTGGGACAGTTTTCTTTTATTCATACTTACAAAGATGAAGGGTCCCTCTCAGCTGCTTATGGAACAGTAGCCCCAAACGGGCTGTGTTGTGAGGAGTTGGCCTACTGTGCTCAAGGAAGGCAGCTCCCGCAGTTCTGCCCTTTATCCTTTTCCCGAAGGAATCAGTCCATTGTCTGCAAGGTCTTGGTCTCATGTCTGGTGCCAAATGCCATAGTGTTATTCCACTGGGGATCATTCATAGCTCTTCCACAGTCCAGAGCTACCAATTATATTCCACAAAAGGTAGAGATATTTATCTTTCCTGATTTTTCTTCCTACTTGATGAACTGCCTTTCTGCTGTGCTCTAGTCCGATGGGAATGTCGGACTGCAAAGTAAAATGGGATGAACCTACTTTGCAGACAAGAATAAAGATGAGGGAAAGTGGGAATTAGCAAGTCCAAATCAGACACACACCCTGCCAGGTGTGAAGCAGACATCCAAGCAGTGGCCAAATTAGAGTTTTACTATATTTATGTGTATTTTTGGTCTAGGAAATCGTTTGTCTTATCCAACAACTTAGTGTGATGGCACACGCTTATCTGTTTGTTTAAAATAAGTATAATTTTACAACCTTTCCTTTCAACTTTTCCATAAAAATCTTTTTTAAAAGAATCCTGTTATTCAGCCATGAAAAAGGATATCCTGCCATTTGCATATCAGGATGGACCCTGAGCACATTAGACTGAGTCAGATAAGTCAGACAGAGAAAGACTAGTACTGTATGGTATCACTTACATGTAGAATCTAAAGGAGCCACCCTTGTAAAAACAGAGAGGAAAATGGTGGTTGCCAGGGGATGGGCAATGGGAGGATAGAACAGATGCTATTTGAGGGTATAAACTTGAACTCATAGTAAGCCCTAGAGAGAGAATGCACAATACAGTGAATATAGGCAGTAATAAGGTATTATAATAAACTTGCTAAGAGACTTAAACTTAATTATTCAAATTACCTAAAAAGAAATTATGATTGTGTAATATGATAGAGGTGCTAATTATCCCCGTAATGGTAATCATATTAAAATATATAAATATATCAAATTAACATGTACACCTTAAATTTATACAGTTGAATATATTTGAACTAAAAAAATATTCCAAAGAACTTCTCACTGCTCATCAATTGAGACTTACTTACCTCACTGTTTTTATTAGAACTCACTGAAATACTAGATAGAAATTTAAGAAGAAATTAGTATATCAGCCATTTTGGAGAAGTATATGTATGTTATTATTTTCTCTTGGGAAAAAATAATAGTAGTTGGAAAAATGTTCTGATTTATCAATAACAGCAAGTTACTAGTTTTTTATTCTTAGATTTGCAAAGCAAGTATCTTCTTTGTGCAAAGAGCAAAGGAATTTCAAATACATATAAAACAAACTGAGAATAAGCTCTGACTCGCCTTAATTTTGCAAAAAATGCTTGTCATTCTACTTTAGTATACAAAAATTCATTTAGTATAAATTGCCTATCTACTATACTAGGAAGACCTACGGAAGTTCATAAAAATCTACATATCTGTTAGATATCTATTGCACTAATATTTGCCTTCCTTTCTTGCTTTTCCATACTTCTCCTCCTGACTTCTGCATACTTTAAAATGACAGGATTAAATATTTTAGTATCTTTATAATCAGATTTGGTTTTCAAAACTGTTGCATGTAAAAGAACATTTAACTTCATTTCAATTCAAACAACATTTGGAAGACCACCACATACCAGGTGTTGTACAAGCTGCTAGAGACAAAGTGATGGGTAGAAAAGTTCCTAATCCCATGGAACACACTTAAAAAGGAAAACAGACGTTATTTATTTCCTTGTTTTATGTGTTTATTTATCTAACAAGTGCTAACATAGCACTCATTATATGCTAGATACAATTCTAAGTAATTTGCAAGTATTAACTCATGTAAGTAGTTATATACCACAAGTGTTTCTAAAGAGGGAAGTGATTTTTTTTTTTTTTTTTTTGCTATAGTTAAATTGTAGGGAACAACAGAGATTGGGGCATGAAGGTAAACACACAGCATTGCTCTTTAATTCTACCACATCTTCAGAATGTGAGACCTGGACAAAACATTGATCCCTAATGTCAGGAGAGGACTGCTTAGTTTTCATCCCCTCATCCTTCATCTTTAACCAGATGTTGTCATTGTTGCTGTGGATTCTCCCCATACTGTTTTATTTGGGGATAAGTTAATGAAGCATATCTTTCTTCAAAATTTGCTTGCTAATCCCTATTTTCCTAGAAATTACTGTGTCTTGCAAGATGACAATTTGTAAGCTAAAGTTTAACTAGTTTTAGGAAGGTTTTTTTTCTTAGCTCCAAATCTGATTTTATCCTTTGAAAGTTCATTGAACTTCCTATTACTTTTCAAGCAACTTATTCTAGAAACAGTATGTTATACTCTTAATTGTATAACTTATACTATGGTATTTCAAAAGCCTTTAGAAATTGTTCTGCTTTCTTGTAAATTTCATTTTATAAATCATAACAAATTATATTGGTTAGCCAGCAGTTATGTAGGAGAGAGATAAATGCATAAATTGCATGAGAACAAAATCTTTACCACCCATTGGACAGTCTTTTAATTCTAGAACCTTCTCGAAAAGAGGGAATTTATGAGTTTCTTTGAACAAATTTAGGAGACCCCCTAGAATATCATTTTTGTGATAATATTTTTTTTCCCACCTGTTTTTGTCTATTCCGGCTGCTATATCAAAATACCACAGACTGGATAGCGTATAAACAAAAGACATTTGTTTCTCACAATTGAGAGGCTGGAAGTCCAAGATCGTGATCCTGGCAGATTCAGTGTAGTAGCTGGAAAGAACCCATTTGCTGGTTCAGACTTCTCTGCTGTGTCTTCACATGGTTGGAGGGGCCTGCAAGCTCTCTGGGGCCTTCTTCTTGAGAGCTTGTTTGGAGGTTCTAGCAGGGGAGCGCAGCTACTCGTATACCCTTGACCGAAGAACGGTCCTCCTCTATCGGGGAAGGTCGTCCTCTTCGACCGAGCGCGCAGCTTCGGGAGGGACACACATGGGTCCTTCTTCTTAAAGGCACTATACCCAGTCATAAGGGCTTGACTCTTTGAAGCCTCCCAAAGGCCCTGCCTCCTAATACCATCCCACTGAGCATTAGGATTTCAACATAGGAATTTTGGGGTGGGGGACACAAACATTTACACCATACTTTAAGCAAATTTAGGAGGACCCTAGAATATCCTTATGCAATACTACTTTCTTTACTAACTAATGTATTTGACCTTTGTTTGCTAGTCTTTTTAACCTATCTCTTGGGTTGCGCGCAATTAATTAGTTGCAACCTTATCCAAGTGAGCCACTTTGCCTCTTTGGCATGTCAGTATAATTACAATCTGTCACTTACTACCAGTCTCAGTATTAAGCAAAATTTCAGTTGGGTAAAGATTACAACCTTACATGTGTGTCATCTGGTAAATTTGGCCTTTAAGGAAAAAAAAAGTGCCATATATCAATTCTTTGTTCTGGTCTAAATTTTGAAGTGTGCCAAAAGTATGCTTTCTTTTAGGACCATATTGTGGAAGTATGCTGGTTCCCAAAGAACTCTTGCTGAACACAAGTGAAGTAACTGTTCGTTTTGAGAGTGGATCCCACATATCTGGGAGGGGTTTTTTGCTGACCTATGCCAGCACCGACTATCCAGGTATAACAGAAGAATCAACATGAGTCTGTAAACCTTTATCTGTCTAAGAATTCCTATTGCTACTGGACTGCCACTGTCCCTGGAGAGAATTGACCTCAGATAGAGAATTAAGATGTGAAGAAAGATAGGAATGCAATGTCTTTGTAAGTAGTTAGATCTGTACTGAATACTTTGATAGAACATGTTAGATTCATCAGCTGACCTGTGTGGAAGAGGGTTGATCTCTTTTTCCTAGAAACTTTGGATGGAGCATCTTCAGGGCTACCCTGACCCTTCTAGTGTCTGGCTATTCTCTGGAGCCCTTCACCAACCCTGTTCTTAACTCAAGCCTTTTAACCAACGGCACTGCCTACCCCCCACATACATGTACCCCTACTAGTGCATCAGCATGGGACGTGTGTGAGTATGAGCAGGATGGAGTAACCGTCACAGAGTGCCCTAACCGTGGAGCTGACTCGAGCAGGAGAGAAGGGAAGCATAAACACCGATGAGAGAGGGAAGTGTGGCCTCCTGTCTAGGCCTCTGGTTCTCCAGAGTAATTACCATGCAGTCCACTGCATGCCTGCCCAGGGTCTCAGACATGCCCAGAGTTTCTGCCCTCAGTCCCCTCTGGAAGAAGTACTCGGGGGAATGAGTGTGCACCATTCGTTTCTCTCTCAGCCAGTCAGATCTGACCTATTCCAGCAGGCCCAAGCATGGCCAGTGTTCACCATTCATTGCTCTCTAAGAATTACTGAAAAGATTAAGGAAAGAATTATTTCACCAAGTGTGGAATATTTTGGAAACTATACCAGGCTGATCTAAATACAAGAAAATTGACAGTATCTCAGTGTCTCCATTGCTGAGTATTTGTTCAGTTTTATACTCCAAAGAACACTCTCTGTTTAAGTCCTTGGTCTTGATTGAACAAGGTAGAGGCTGTTTGTGTTCTTGGTAAACACCTGCTTCTGTGTCACTTGGGTGCCACTAGCTAAATTGTTAAATTAAAATGTTCCTGAACCTTCTCTATGAACCACACTGGGCTTTTTAATTGTTTTCCTCCTGCCAGTTGAGGTTTTATACATAATCTTTGTAGGCATGTAGTGGATAGTAACTAATTAGTGTTGATTTTTCTGTTGGAAACAGATTCTGCTATTGTTTACTGGACAATTGCTGAAAAATCATCATTGGTGGTAGAAAAGAGAAATTGAAAGGAACTGATGAAATCCTGGGAATAGTGTTCTCAGTTTCAGTTTATTTTTAAACAGGAAAATTCAGATAATGAGATAAAAAGTAAATGCTTTTCTTAAAATGGCCTTTTTTATTTAAAAAGAAACCTTTGAACATTAGTGTCTAACTTCCATTCAGTATGCTAATTACAATTATCTTTATTTATGACAGATTTAATAACATGTTTGGAGCGAGCTAACCATTATTTGAAGACAGAATACAGGTAAATATAGGTGTCCTGGCTGTGCTGCAGTCGTACATTGCTCAACATTTGGTTTTCCTTAACATTAAACCAGATAAAGTTACTTATTTGTGTTTGTTTTTTTTTAATATCATCTATGTTATAATCAATGAGGAATATTTGAAATGGTTTCTTATACAGTAGAGGCCAACCAATTTTTTCTGTTGAGGGCCAGATAATAAATATTTTAGGTTTCCAGGCCATGCCATCTCTTTTGCATCTATTCATATAAGTCTTTGCTGTTGCTCTAATACAAAAGCATTCATAGACAATATGTAAACAAATGAGCGTGGCTGTATTCCAATAAACTTCATTTACAAAGCAAGCAGCAGGCTGGATTTGGCCCACGAACCACGGTCTGCTGACCCCTGAGTCCTGTAGCACCAATGAGCCCTAGTGGAACCCAGAAGTACATTTTTTCCTGGCCAGCATCTAGGAATGACTTTTGTAATCCATTTACTTTTGGAAAGGGTTCATGTTTTCTTTTCCACAAGAAAGAAACCTGCTGAGAATAGGAGATAAAATTTTCATCACAGCTTTACTTTAATTTTGTAATCTCTTTGATACACATTTCCTTATCTATAAAGTCAAAGAGCCTAACGCAGGATGTCTCAACCTTGGCACTGTTGATATTTTGGGTTGGGTGACTTTCGGGTTGTTGTGACGAGCTCTCCTGTGTGTTGATGGATGCTCACCAGTACCCCTGCCCTCTGCCCTCTATGCCAGTTGTGATAACCAAAAATGTCTCTGGACACTACTGAATGTCTCTCAGTGGGAACAGTTCACCCTCAGTTGAAAAGCTATCTGGAGATCATTGTCAACTGCAACACTACTAACAACTGTAACTCCTTAGAGAGCTTTCTTAGTGCCAGGTACAGCTCTCTGGACTTAGCTGATAAGTGACTCATGTGAATATTCCAACATGCCTGCAAAGTAGGTCCTATTACACCCTGAAACAGGCACAAAGCAATTAAGAAACACCCAGAGCTACACACTTGATAAGTATATCCAGAGAGTCAGGCTCAGAAGTCCACCGTCCTAGCCATCTCAGATGTTTCAATGAATGGGATTATTTTATATGCAGAATCAATGCTAGTATTAACTAATATTAAGTCTGGTAAAAAAAAAAGAAAATGGCCAATAATTAAATGCTGCTCCATAAAGTTGCCTTTTATCCAGTGTAGTTATAAGCTAACATTCTCAGAAAGCTTTGTAGCTTTCCAGCTTCTCTATACATTTCCAGTGGTGACAGGGCCTATAGGCATTAATGGTCATTTCTTGTCCTCCTAAAGAATATACTCAGCCTATAGGAGGATATGGTGCCAGATCATCTAAGCCATTGCCTGGCTGTTTTTGTAGTGTTTCATTAAAGATGAGGTGATAAATAGTATAGGTCCACAATCCCTCATGTATAATTGTGAAATGTAGAAAGCATTAAAAGTCAAAAGGTTTTTTGTAATTCATTTGGTGGAAATACCTGGTTAATGTGACCTGAAATACATTTGACAGCAAAATTGGACTACGTTGACAAGTCTATTTAGTCTTTATGTATTTGATTTATATGACTCTTCATGTATTTGATAACAGAGATACTGTTTTTTATCAATATGTGCAGACCTCAGTGGGGTCTTACGTCATATACATCATTGGCAGTGTTTTACTTTTCTGGAATCCAGAAAATTCTGAATTCTGGAATACATCTGGTTCTAGGGGTTAAGATAAGGAATGTAAACCTGTAGTAGGATTCTCCATTACTGTTATTTCTTAATTCACTGATCATTGTGCAACGCTGCACTACATAAGGTCAGTGGGAAATAATTGTGAAACATGTATTTGGGTAGTTTTGATAATTAGATGTCATTTCACATCTGATTTGCTATGTCAGCAGGAGGAAGCTGAGAGGAAATTAAATAAAAACAACTGCTATTTTGGAATCTGGGCTGGTACATTCTTTTTAAACAAACTAAGTAAACGTTATAATGTGGAATATATAAAACAAGGGTATACAGAATTCAGTTCAACTTCAGAATTGTCAATGTTATAATAGTTGGACTTTATGCATGTTTTTCATAGATTGTCTCTCTCTCTCTATATATATATATGTATATATATATATATATATACATATATATTTATACTGTCTATCTATCTATCTATCTATCTATCTATCTATCTATCTATCTATCTATCTATCTATCTATATATATATAGCTGTTTTTCATAGCCTGTTGATATGTTGATACTTGAAGGAACCACAGATGGGGGAACTGAATATGTAATATTCAGGGTCACACAGCCAGCTAGATAGTACCACTTCCTTGGTCAACACGCTTAAGTCCCTCCAACCATACCATTTGCCATGACATGCATCTAGAAACTTCCTTGAAAAATGTTAAGTAAATGGAATCTCAATTTTAAAATATAATTTTTTTAGTCAAACTCATAGAAACCAGAAAGTAGAAAAGTAGTTGCCAGGGTCTGTGGATAACAGAAGTATGTAGAGGTTGGTAAAATGTACAAACTTTCAGCTTTAAAATGAATAAGGCCCAAGGATCTAACATGTAACATGGTGACTGTAACTGATAACACTGTAACATATAATTGAATTTTCTGAGAGAGTAGAACTTAAATGTTCTCACCATATTTTTAAAATACATATTTATGTTATAAAAATATGTGAGGTTATGGATATGTTAACTAGAAGGGTAGTATATATAAAATCATCATGATGTACACTTTAAATATCTTACAATTTTACTTGTCATTTATACTGCAATCAAGCTGAAAAAATATATACATGCCTCTTCTTCTGATTGCAAAATGTAATTCAGACCTAATGTAGACCATCACTGTCCAGTACCTATAGCTATTAAGGGCTTAAAGCGCAAATAGTCCAAATTGAAATGTGCTCGAAGTATAAAATATACTGCAGATTTTGAAGACTTGGTACAAAAGTAAAAGGACTGGAAATATATCATTGATATTTTTTTTTGTTCATTATATGTAAAAATGATAAAATTTGAACATACTGGGTACAATAACATATATTATTAGTATTAGCTTGCCTGTTTCTTTTTACTTTTTTAATGTGGCTACTAGGATATTTAAATTTATATATGTGGCTTCCATTATGTTCCTGTTGGATAGTACTAGCAGAGTGAAGCAAGATGTTATTGAGTTAAGACAGAAAGTAAAACTTCATCAAAATCCTCCTCTCAGAAAGAATCAAGAGGTTTTCTTCCTTTCCCTCTTTTTATTCATAGAAAACAAGTTATTTATATATTTTAATAATATGTTTTTATAAAAATGAGGTCATAGTGTTTAGAAACTTTCCTTTTTGTCTAAAAAATATTTCTTCGACATCTTTAAATCAGTTAAGATGCATTAGGGAAGCTCACTGTTTAATAAAGTTTATAATGAATCCTTACATAAAACAAATAATTACTGTGTAAAACTTGCCCTCAGATTAACATTTTAGATCTGTGTTCACAAGTGAGGTTTCTGATCTATTAAAGCAAGGTATTTCCTCCTACATCTTTTAATACCTTTTAATTTAAATACAATTTAATAAAATATAAATTATTTATTTTCTTTTTCCAGTAAATTCTGTCCAGCTGGTTGTAGAGACATAGCAGGAGACATTTCTGGGAATGTGGTGGATGGATATAGAGATGTAAGTAATTGAGGGTCATTTTCTAAGAAAAGTAAGTGCTTGTTCCTCTGTCTAAATTTATTACAAAGCTGTAATATATGTAATGATTCTATCTTTACATGCATGATTCTATCTTTTCTGAGAATAAATGAAATAATAAATAGGAGAACCAAGATTATCCATGCATTTGTTCCTGTTTTTAGCATTTCCAGTTATGTATTCTATAAATGAAATGGTAAACAAAACCTTTTTAACACCTAAGAGTGTAATTCCATCTATTTTTTATAAGAGGTCGTCCTTTTTGTTACAATTTGTTTCCTTATTTTATTGCTCCAGTTGTTCATGTAATACAGCCAAGGACATGAACATTTACATCACCGAACAGTGACGCTGTCTGGAACCAGTGAAGCTATCCATCCTGCTCTTATATATTATCACCCTACTGCCTTGCACCCCAGTATGCCTAATGAGACTCTGGGTTATACATTTTCCCCAGAGACACATGAATTCACAAGAAGTATTTTTCTAAAGTGTATGTATCCTGTCTCCAGATAAACAATCCTTCATTTCTTACTGTTTACAGATTTCTATCCTGAAAATCCAATGCCTGGTTTCTTAAAATTTGCATTGCTTTTTAAAATAGTTGGGTTTATAGTTTATGGGAATTGGCTTGAGTTATTAAAAATGTGAAAATCTGTTTAGTGATTTTTAACTTTTCTAAGATTTTAACTTTTGACATGTGCTTTCACGCATGGAGAAAGCATACATCTTTTAGGAGATTGATAATTCATCTCCGCTGGGGAGGAAAAAAACTTGGTTTTACTTTGCTTTTAGCGCATCTTGATGCTGGAAGAGCAGATTTTGTTATTTTGCTGTTTCCACTTTCATATATTGTCATTCTGTACAAGATTGACACAGGATATTCATTTTTCCTATAAATTATTTGAATCCTAAAGTGGTTTACACTATCTCAGTCTGAAGATATACTTGGTACAGCCTATTTCTAAAAGACTTCCCAAAATTCAGAGAAATAAAAAGTTGAAGTAAAGTCCCCCACCCATCAATAAAAAATTTTTATTTATCATTTTCCTGTCCCGAGCAAGGAACTTAAGAATCATGTACAATAAGAAAAATAGCATTATTTTGTATTTACTTTGGTTTTCTTGTCTCCCCTTGACCACTGTCTTTCTTAGTATAACAGGTAAATGGTTTCCTGTGTGGTAGATCTGAGTACATAATCTGCAAGTGCTAGCAAAAAGATTCCTATAACTGGTTTTATACCATTTGCTATTAGAATGATTTTTTTCTGGAGAGAAAAATTTGTATTTTGAAAACAAATCTCTTCACAGAAGTCTGAGTAGTGCCTTTTTTGTATATGTTGATATTGTGGGTGTATCAGATATCTATTGCTACATAACAATAATACCACAAACTTAGAAACTTAGAAACTTAAAACAACATATGTATCATCTCTCACATTCTGTGGTCAGGAGTTTGGGCATGGCTAAGGGGAGTTCTTTGCGTAGGGTCTCACAAGCGTACAGCCAAGGTGCCAGCTGGGACTGCAGTTTCATCTGAGGTTTGAGTGGGGAAGGATTTGCATCTAAGCACAGATGGTATTGGCAGCATTTAACTGAATGCTTATGGATTGTTAGATGGAGGACCTTCAACTCCTTGCTATGTGGACCCTCCCAATATGACTACTTGTTTCTTCAAAGCCAGCTAGGGAGAATTTGCCTACAAGGGAGTACTATAACAAGACAGATTATAGTCTTACGTAATGTTATGATGGAAGTGGTGGCCCATCACTTTTGCCATATTCTGTTAGTTAGAAGAAAGCCACAGCTTCCCCCAATACCCAGAGGGGTCATTCGGTGGGGGAATACTAGGAGGCAGGGATCGTGGGGGTCATTTTAGAGTCTGTCCTCCATGATGCCTTCATCATAGAAGATGTGTTCCATAGCAGCACGTCTTTCCTGGAAGTATCTTTGCAAAACCAAAACACATTCTCTAGGTCAGGATGACAGAATCTGTAAAACAAGTTGCAGGGAAGCCGTTGAAGAAAAAGGCACTCTGTCTCGGGCAGACACTTATTCTTTGGGGGGCCGCTACTCCTGTAAACTACATACTTAGCTACCTAGTGGGCCAGTTCCCAAGTAAGTCCGCATAATGATGGTGACTGATGTCATTTTGAGATAGTTATACAGTATTTTTTATCTCACTGAATAAATACTTCTACCTTTTATTGAAATGAGTTATAGTTTAGCAATATCATAGGTCAAAGAGGAATCCTGACCACAGTTATAATGAAATGGAAAACTCCCACTGTGTTTCAGATGTGTTCTTGAGTAAGCTAGGAATGATGACATTGCTGTTTTTCAGACCTCTTTATTGTGCAAAGCTGCCATCCATGCGGGAATAATTGCAGATGAAGTAGGTGGTCAGATCAGTGTGCTTCAGCACAAAGGGATAAGTCGATATGAAGGAATCCTGGCCAATGGTGTGCTTTCAAGGGAGTAAGTACTTTGCCTTTTGTTCTGAGTGGAAAGTAATCCTAAAGGCGTAATTAATCAACTCACAATTTTGAAAGGACAGCAGGTATGTGATACCAAGGGTTTGTCAACTGGGAGAAAAAAGTATGAGTGCTTAGAGTAGCATTTATGGTGTCTGTGTGGAAGATAAATGCAGCAATAGAAAAGCTCACTGTGCTGACAAGTAAGTTAAAAGGGTACACATCTGAACTCCAAGGGCAGAGGAGTATTTTTACACTCAGTTCTTTACTAGGAGAGAATAAAGGCTTATTCCTTTTTGTTCTTTTCCATTTTCAGTAAATTGTTGCTTATCTCCAATATTACCAAAGATAATGAAGGAGACGGGGGACTAAAATAAGCCCATACAAAACTACTAAGATCAACAGAAGGTCCCTAGAGACAATCTCTTAATGATGAATAATAGTTGCACATGAAACAAAGATGGCTTTTGTTAACGTTAATTTGTCTGGTGTTATCCTTTGCTCTTTTAGTTTCCTAAGAAAAAAGTATGTCAATTGCTCTAAACGTTTCAACCTCAGCTTTTAATCCTTTCAAGTTTCCTCAGCTTCTGCAGAAGAAAACTAGAGCTCTTAGAACTAAATACAGGTGGGCCTGTGGTCCAGATGTTCACCCTACCAGCAGGCAACTTGTGATAGTCCAGAGGGGGGCTCCTCTCGGGTGGATGCCTCATGGGGAGAAGTGAGCCTTGAGCCACTGATTTCTCTCTCTCTTCCTCCCTAGCTGCCCTGGAAATGTCTTCCTACTACTGTGACCCTATGTTATTTTGGATAGGGTGCCATGTGGTCTTGGTCCCAAGGATAAGCACAAGGCAGAGGCTGGAGGCATTTCAGGATCCAACAGTAGGGAAAAGGACCTGTGTCTTCTGCTGCTCACTTCTCTGTGTGTGGATCCCCGCTCCCCCCACCCACCCACCCACACACATTTCGGCCTTTCTTCATGTAGAAAAACACTATCATATATTGCTGCTCCATTCTTGTACTGGGTTGTGGACCATCTCTGGTTAAAAGAAAAAAAGAATCACATTATGAGGATAGATACGTTCCCAAGTTAGCATAAATATAGTGACTCTGATGTCATTTTGAGAAAGTTATACAATAAATTTTTCTTCCTATTATACTTTTATTTAAATACATTATAGTTTAGCTTAGCAATATTGTGAATCAAATAGGAATTCTGACCCCAAGCTACAACATTGTTTTTATTTTTATTTCTTAAGGTTTTTTTAAGTGTAGTTGATACATTGGTTTCAGTTGTACAACATAGTGATTTGGCAATTACATACATTATGAAATGCTTACCACAATAGCTGTAGTTAACATCTGTCACCATGTAAAGATACTCGATATTATTTATATTCCCTATGCTATTTTAAGTTTAAGGAAAACATATTTTAAGCTCCAGAGAATCAACTAAAGAGCTCACAGGTAAACTGTGAGTTTACTAAAACCCATTTCCAGATTGGAGTGTTGGCCTAAGTCACAGGAGTGGGGATTTGAAAGTTGTAACAGAAGTTGGGGGAGAAGTTGATTAGGTCGCCATCAGGAAGGAAGCAAGCCTTGGGTTTCATAGAAAGCAAGGATGAGGCTTAGGGTCCCAGGGGGTCAAGTCAAGGCCTGGGCAGGGGCACTGGAGAGGAGTTGCGACAGCCACCGGCACTCGTGCATATTCAGCAAGTGGGTGGCTGAGGAGAAAAAGTAGAGCTCCCACAGGCAATTCTGAGTTGACAGTGAGGGTGGGAGTAACTGGAGAGGGTGTTACAGGCCAACTCATTCACAAGATGCTGTACGTAATCTATAAAAGGCTGTCATCCAATGGGACTATATCAAGCTGAAAAGCTTCTGTACAGCAAAGGACATCATCAATAGAACAAAAAGGTATCCTACAGTATGGGAGAATATATTCGTAAATGACAGATCCGATAAAGGGTTGACATCCAAAATATATAAAGAGCTCACACACCTCAACAAACAAAGAGCAAATAACCCAATTAAAAATGGGCAGAGGAGCTGAATAGACAGTTCTCTAAAGAAGAAATTCAGATGGCCAACAGGCACATGAAAAGATGCTCCACATCGCTTGTCATCAGAGAAATGCAAACTAAAACCACAATGAGATATCATCTCACACCAGTAAGGATGGCTACCATCCAAAAGACAAACCAACAAATGTTGGCGAGGCTGTGGAGAAAGGGGAACCCTCCTACACTGCTGGTGGGAATGTAAATTAGTTCAACCATTGTGGAAAGCAGTATGGAGGTTCCTCAAAATGCTCAAAATAGAAATACCATTTGACCCAGGAATTCCACTTCTAGGAATTTACCCCAAGAATGCAGCACTCCCGTTTGAAAAAGACAGATGCACCCCTATGTTTATCGCAGCACTGTTTACAATAGCCAAGATATGGAAGCAACTTAAATGTCCATCAGTAGATGAATGGATAAAGAAGATGTGGTACATATACACAATGGAATATTACTCAGCCATAAGAAAAAAACAAATCCTACCATTTGCAACAACATGGATGGAGCTAGAGGGTATTATGCTCAGTGAAATAAGCCAGGTGGAGAAAGACAAGTACCAAATGATTTCACTCATATGTGGAGTATAAGAACAAAAGAAAACTGAAGGAACAAAACAGCAGCAGAAGCACAGAACCCAAGAATGGACTAATAGTTACCAAAGGGAAAGGGACTGGGGAGGACGGGTGGGAAGGGAGGGATAAGGGTGGGAAAAAAAGAAAGGGGGCATTACGATTAGCATGTATAGTGTGGGGGGGCACGGGGAGGGCTGTGCAACCCAGAGAAGACAAGTAGTGATTTTACAGCATCTTACTATGTTGATAGACAGTGACTGTGAACGGGGACATAGGGGGGACTTGGTAAAGGGGGGAGCCTAGTAAACATAATGTCCTTCATGTAACTAGATTAATGATACCAAAATAAAATTTAAAAAAAATAAAATGAAATAAAATAGAAAAACAAAACAAAACAAAAAGGTAGTCATCCATAAAGCATGTATCTGTGTCCTCTGTCTGTCATGTACTTTCTGACCTTCCCATGTACTTTCCCCTGTGGATAAGGAGTTTTAGCTATGCGAGGCCCCGAAGTGTTCTTTTCCTATTATCTGAATATTAAAAGACAAATTAGTCTTAAAATTCGTGCCAAAGTTTAAGATCTAAATAGCTTGGCAACAAGATGCCTTTAGAAACCAAAATACTCAAATAAATAAAATGTTTATGTGTGCATGCACATATGTACTATTTATAAATAAAATTTTATATATGTACACACATCTATTTTATATATACATAAATTTTTTTTCACTTATGTATTTGCTTCAAACTCTTTGTACCTTAAAATTTATATCCTGATTTATGGTCAAAGTGATTGTTTATGCACAGTAAGCTTTAAATGTTAGCTGCACCTTGACTCTTGAAGATCTCTTTTGTTTTATGTTTTTTATGGTTTGTTGTGTTGATACTAGGGCACTATTTCAGGAAGGTATCAGGTTGTGGGCTACATTTGTTTCGTTCTGCCATCTTGAAATAGGGACAAAGAACTGGCCTTTGGCTTTAAATCTGTTTTTTGGAAACTCTTGCCTATGTTTGTATACATTTTGAATGCTTTTGTAGAAAAATAGGATAGTAAAATTTTTAACTTTTAAAATCCTACTTGGGTTTTATTTTTATTTTGAAGAAAAATTATTAAGACTATTGAATAAAAGTAGACCTATTGAAAAATTATTGAAAAAAAGAACTATATTCTCAGTTATTTCTGTTACATCACTGAGCTTAATACATATGAAGTTGCTTTATATAATTAGAAATGAAACTAATATGCAAAAATAAGAGTACAGAAATCTGATGTTTTGAATTAGGAAATTAAATAAACTAGGAAAAGTTTTGGTCATTCCATATAGTTATTTGGACAAATTGTCCGATTTTTGTTTTAGCAGAGTAGAAAGTCCAGAATTATATCAAGGTCTCTTCTTCCTTCTAGCTCGGTGGTTTTGCACTGACCGGCAGACAGGAGTAAAATGTATGCATATGGTCTCTCCTACTCATTTTGATTCCCAAATCCGTAGGGAATAGATGTTTTTATTTGTGCAGTTTTGCTGTCAGGGAGGACTGTACACGCGGTCACTGAACTTCTGTTCCCATATGATTGTCTGGCGTCCAGGAAAAAACACAGAAGGAAGCATTGCCGCTGAGGAAGAAGGAGTCCCTAAAGTAAATATCTAGGTCCTTCTGGGATCCATCCCTGGCCGGGTCACTTCCTACTTGAGGAGACCAGAATGGAATCAGGAAAGAGAGCTGACCTCACACCGGGGACAATGGCTCAAACCCACAGCGGGGAAAGCTTCTCTTTCTGTTTATGTCAGACTCCTCTTGATGGCTTCTTCAGTCCTCTGGGAAGGCTGGCAATTCCTCACTCACCTACCAGTGGGGAAGCCTCAGAACTCCTGAACTCCCTAGGGTGGTTTCATTTTTGAAAGAGGAGCTCATTTACCTATGGAATTCTCTAAGTGGTTGTATTTAGTTAGTTTAATGAGTGAAATGGGAAAACATTCCAGCTGATAATGGAGGAAAGCCAGACAGCGAGCTGTTAGAAGCAGAGCCTTCCCTGGCAGCGTCTTTTCAGAGCTAACTCCAAACTTATCCTTCTTTCCGTTACTTTTGTTTTTCAACAACAAAAAAATATTTTGATGTTTCATGGCAATGGGAATGAGTTTAGGTGCTCAGGGTTGCAGCAGTATTATTTGGATTAAATTTCAAGGGTAATACTTAGTGCAGAAATGATAGAGGAAATGGAAAAATCAGTCAGTCAAAGAGAGGCTGTAAATAAATCTTAATAAAAATGTAAATGTAGGTTGCAACAGTGTGCCACCTTTAAGATTAGGAGAGCTGGACCCTCACCCCATCTTTGCCACTAACTGTGAACTTCGGCATGTCTCACAACCCAAGTGCATCTGCATTTTCTCATGTGAGAAATGACCTGTGCCTGCATTATCTTCAGCACAGAGATTACAGTAGAACCTTTATGTGGCATGCCAGGGCTTATAGTGTCTGCCTGACAGTAACGAAGAATATGGAGAGAATCCATTCTAGAGTTTGACCACCTGTTACTTAAGGGAGGAAAGAAAAAAAAACTTTGATAGGAAGGTGCTTATACCCGAGTCCAGACTATTTTTGGGTGCTCGGCAGATTCACAGTTCAGTACTCTGTCCATTATTGTCATACATAATTCAGAATTAAACATGTAAAATAACACGCAGTACTCTCAGATTGTAAAATAATTGAACACAACAGTGACATCTGCCTTTTTTGTGTTTACCTCTAATATAGTAAGTTCTGTGCCCATAAGATTAATCTTGAAAATTTGAAATTTTCTATTCATTCTACACATTTTTACACCATTGAGTTGGTGAGGGCTTCACAAAAAGGCAGATACGGTGTTGGGCCTTAGGAATCTCTTCTCCACTGGGGAGAGCAATGCTGACTTAGTAAGTTTGCCGGTGGGAGTCATGCTGCTGTAAACTGATGGGTCCCGAGGCCTGGGGATCAGTGCCAGAGAAGCGGGGGACTGTCTCCCAGCAGTGAGGGCCCAGTCAGGTTGGGTCAGTGACATGCTGTGAGCTGTCCCCAGCAGTGCCTCGTTATCCAGAGGCAGGAGCTGGTGGCTACAGTACTAGGAGTGTGACCAGAGAGAGACTGGGCTGACGCTGTCCCGGGGGCAACACTGCTGGGGCGGAACCCCTCATGGAGCGCAGAGAAGGCAGCTAGCTGGCAGACTCATTCTTCCAAAAGTGACCAACCTTCCTTATTTCTCTCAAAGGTTCTTGATTATTGACGCCAAATGAGACACTTTAAGGTAACTTCCTGAAGCAGAGGGAGTATCAGGGCAGCCATCCTTTCTGCCTCCATCACCGCGTGTTCATTAATTGGGATCGGACATTGTTCCTGAGACTGCAATTTTGCACATTCCTTCCCATACAATGTGTGGGGTGATGGAAACAGCTCAGGATTTTGGTTCCAGAGCAGTGTCGCAGAGTCCTGCCCACTTGTCACCTGTATAACTTTAGGAACGCTGCTTCCCTTCAGTGGGCCAATTCAAAGCACCGGTGATGAAGATAGTAACCGTGGCCTTGCAGGTGCCGTGAGGACCCTGCGAGGTGTGGGAGGGCCCTGGAGCCCGTGCTATAGCACTGTATCCGTCACTAAGATCCAGTTAAACAACTCACCCCACGTTTGTGTTTATAATTTCAGTGGTTCCCTGTCGGACAAGCGATTTCTGTTTACCTCCGATGGTAAGGATCATACTTTCTTTAAGAATTTGATATTTTTAAATCTTCAGTGATAGTTCATTCTTCCCTCAGATGACATAAAGGACTTTTATTTTTATTTTTACCTCAGGTCACATAGCACCAAGTAGACTTTCACTTAAAAAAATACACAAGACAAGAAGCCCAATTAGCTTTAAGCAGAAAATATTTTTCTTTATGGCCTAAGCTCTCTCAGATATTTGCCAAAAAGCATGAAAAATTGCAATGACATTTATTTTAAGTAATTTCCTGTATGTTATATTTTAATAGACAAAGCTTTAAAGTTATTGAACATGAATATACAAAATAAAGACTTCTTAGCCCCCACCATCATGGAATATGTTTCTTGTAAATATTCGCCCTCAGCATAAAGTACAAATATGTCTTCTTTGCCCAGAAGCAGAGTGTGGCCTTTATAAGATCACCTGGACATACCTCCTCTTCAAGGGTACAGAGTTCCCCTGTGATCTAGTGAGAAAAAACCCAGTGTTTTAAAACTTTAAGACACTTTGCACCTTGCTGAAATCCAGATGAATTTAGAAGGTTAGAATGGAAAATCTACACTGGGAACAAAGAGATACCACTTATAGGAGATGTGACTTTGATGAGGTCCATTAAAAAGAAAAGCAGCAACAGTTTCAAAACACCACAGTACAAATGAGTCAAATGCAAGTCTGGGTCATTAAAAACTAGTAATGAAACAGCTGACTCAGTAGCAGAAGTAAATCAACTGAATAATTCCAGGTGAGATGGGGTTTGTTTTTTTAGGGTGTTTTTTTTGTTTTTTTTTTTTAGTTTGTTTTCATTGTGTATTTATATCTGAAATATTGTCCTGCCCTTTTTTCCTAGGTTGCAGCAGATCCTTGAGCTTGGAACCTGACAGGCAGATCAGAGCTTCTTCTTCTTGGCAGTGGGTCAATGAGATTGGAGAACAAGTTCAGTGGTCTCCCAGCCATGCCCAGCTTCAGGACCAAGGGCCATCATGGGCTTCGGGGGACAGCAGCGACAACGACAAACAGCAAGAGTGGCTAGAGATAGACTTGAGAGAGAAAAAGAAAATAACAGGTACCGACACGAGAGCAGTTTCACTGATACATAATGATTAGCAGTTGAAATTATGTTTTTGGTTTACATAGCTGCCTCTCTCTCTACCTCAAAGTACTCGTAATTAATGGACTTTATTTCTTGGACAGTTTTAGGTTTGTGGAAACATTGAGCAGTCGGTAGAGAGTTCCCATAAACTCCTGATCCCCAGTTTTAACAAGTAGTAACATTTTGCAATTATATGGTATATTTGTTACAGTTGATGAGCCAATAATGATACATTATTAACCCAAGTCCATAGTTTACATTAAGGTTTGTTTTTGTGTTG